ATATAAATATATTTATATACGTTGGTGCGGCCGATTGCAACCAAAATACGAGGTGCACATCTACATGTTATAGCAGTCCTATATACAAAATTTCAACGTTCTGAGGCTACTCGTTTTTGAGTTATGCGAGATACGTACGTACGCACGTACGTACGTACATACGTTCGTACTGACGCCACGAAAAATTCTCTTGAGAATTCATTTTAAAGCAATTTTATAATTACTTTTGGAGGAAAAGAGTGTTTTATTCTGTCCTTACGTACATATATCACGGAAATACATCGTTAAATTGCATTTGAAAGAGGTCAAAATGGGATATTTTCGTTGAAATATGCTGCCTGAAACTTTTCGCGATTACAATACTTCCTTTTTACTTCGAACAAGGAAGTAAAAAAGGACAGTTCTATATCTTCCCTTCTACTGGTCCGATTGACGAAATTCAAGCTGTGTTTTTCATGTCTAGAAATGGAGAAAATAGTGTAGCAGAGTAGTGTGTCTTCAATCCAGAGATTAGCTTGAGAGCGATCAACTGAGTCGGGAGCTTATTTTAGTGCTTTGCCGTGAAGCAGTCTACACTGTTATATCCTGAAGGCTGTGTTGCTGGTTGTTTCAGCACGTTTATCCTAGTTTTTAGACGACTGTAAACGTGTCTTTCGAATTGTCCTGTGTAACAGTGCTTGCTGGCGAATAAATTGTGTTTTGATTCTTTATCAATTACTCCAAATCCATGAGCCTGTAGAATGCAACAATATTAATTTATTTTATGTCATATCTAGAAGTACACTGTGCAAAAAGAAAGGAACAGTTCTATATCTCCTGTTCTACTGGGCCAATTGACAAATTCAAATTGCGTTTTTCATGTCTCGAAAGCGCAACTTAGGACATATATTAGATTTATATATATAGCATTATTCTAACATAGATATTTTGACACAAAATTGGACCTTTTCTGAAATGACATGCCAGTTTTTTTTTTTTTTTTTTTTTTTTTCCCCATAGTTCCATTCTACGATTCAAATTATGCCTAAATATTAAATTTTGTAAAATTTCGTACGAATAAACGGGGAAATTCAAAAATTTATTATGGCGCAATTGTTTCAGTTTGCGACCTATTTTCCTGTCCTTTCCTCATTATAGACGAGCGGAAAAAAAATCATCATTCATTCTTTTAAATAATTTTAATAAAGTGCGTAAACCATTTGTCATTATTATCGGTTATAACAAAAATGCCAAATTTCAAAACGCGCCAATCTGTAAATTCGTGTATAATAAAAAAACTCTAATTTTTTGCAAGTGTGCCTAGAAATGCATATACTTAAATATGATGTTGAAAATTTTATAAGTTATAATACAAAAAGTTTTTCAAAAAATTTAAAAAATATATTTAAAAATAAAATTTAAAAAAAATCATAAAATATGTGCGAATTACATTTGGATTAAGCCTAAATTTCGAATTCTGGAAAAAAGAATCAAGTAAGTTTAATAAAAAAAAAAGATATCAACATACATATATATCAAATTCAATTAACACTGAGGAGCTGAAATTTTGAGAGCTAATTTTTTAAAACCTACTCGTTCGATTTTTACAAAATTTGGAAGTTCGGCATAGCTTGAATATGAAAAAAATTGGCAAGTCATTTCAGAAAACGTCCGATTTTGTGCCAAAATTAGAACAATGCTATATATAAATCTAATACATATCCTAAGTCGTGCTTTCGAGACATGAAAAACGCAAGTTGAATTTCATCAAGCGGCTCAATAGAACGACGGAAGATATAGAATTGTTCCATTTCTTTTCCTCAGTGTACATCGAAATTTATGTTACTTATCTTGTTATCACAAATTTTGAATGCAATATGACACTTAGTTCTCTTAAAACTAAGCATTCACGTGACAATTTTTAAGAATGAGTCATTAATTGCATAATTTCTTCTACAGTTATTATATTCCCATATTTTATTTTTTTCTAAAAATATACATGTTTAAAATTTTAAATAAGGAAGCTAGTTTTGTGGCAAAAGAATTTGATGAATTAGAACAAATACCAACATTATAAATATGGTGTGCGCTTCATTATAATTATCCGAAACAGAAATTTAGGTAATACTCATAATAGTGTTACTTGAGTATTTATCTTACCGAAACCATAATATGCAATTTTCATCACTTTAATTTACTTAGAGTGATAAGAAATCGTTTTCCTCACTATTTGTTTAATTCAAAAGCACTGCTATAACACTTTTTAGTGTCTTTAGTAACTTCCAGGTTTATATGTATGTAACTTTCTTATACAAAATCTTCAAAAAGTATTTTCTTCCTGTCCTTAGTTAAAGTCACTTAATTAATTAGAAGTGCTGAGCGTTCGTGCTTCGAAATCAAGCACGTTTGCAATATCTTACGTTTGAATTTAAACAGAAGATGGTTAAGAATAGATTTGATTGTTATCTGACCCTATAAATACAGTTAGTAAAACTTAATGAAGCTTCAAAGCTCTGCAACAGCCTTTACGAAATTCCATATATTTGTCAAGAAACTATGATTATTTCTCTATCACTACTTCTGATGAATATGAAATGATAATCGTAACTACAGTGTCTCACAAAAGTGATGGGATACTTGTGCTTTACAAAAGGAAACTGTAGTAAAATAAATTAAGAAAACATGTAAAAATTTTTTGTGGGTGTGTTTCATACTTAAATTTAGTAACAATTATTACATAACATACATTTTCTCAAAATATTAAAATATTAATTTAATAAAAATATAATTGTTTAAAAGGGAGCAAAAAATGGCTCACATAAGTGATGGGACACTTACTTTTCCATTAAATATTTATCCAAAATTTTATTTTTTAAAAGGTTTTAATATTTTGTTGGATTTCCCTTTACTTTTAAAACATGATTTAATCTTCTTGGAATAAATTCGACTTTTTTTTTTTTTTTTTTTTTTTTTTTTTTTTTTTTTTTTTGAATCTGGAGTGATTTTACCCCATTCTTCTTGAAGCACCGATTTTAATTGTTGTTTGTTTTGAAGAAATGGTGTGTTTGCGAATTCTTGATTCCAATTCTTGCCAAATATTCTGTATGGGATTTAAGTCTGGAGATTGTGGTGGTGTTTTTATTATTTCAGGATAGTTATACAGCAACCAGGGTCTAACGTTCAAAGCACTGTGCTTGGGGTCATTGTCCTGGTAGAATTTAAAATCGTTATGAAGGTTCAATTTTCGCGCTGAAGATTTCAAATTTTGATTTAAAATGTCAATATACTTGTACCGATCCATTATACTGTCAATAAAAACAAGATTACCAACTCCAGCGGACGACATACACCCCCATACCATAACTCCTCCTCCACCATGTTTTACTGTTGGCACCAAGTTCTGCTTACGAAATTTTTCTTTGGGTTTTCTCCACACCAAGATTCTACCGTCAGAACCAAATATATTAAATTTACTCTCATCAGCAAATATAACTTCATTCCAGTAATCAGAATTCTTATTTATGTTGGATTTTGGGAAAGCCAGTTTGAGTTTTCTATTCTTTTCACTTACGAAGAATTTTTTCCCGGCTGCTCCACCGTGATATCCAGCAGATCGAATTACTCTTCTAATAGTCTCAGGATTAACAATTACTCCATATAATGCTTGTAAATCAGCAGCAACTTTAGGAGCACTCAATCTTGAATTTTTTTTTAATATTTCGAACGATAGTTCGCTTTATTCCATTGGATAGCTTTGATGTTCGGCCAGGTCTTCTTTTATCCTGAATCATATGATTCATTTTATATCGTTTAATGATCTTGAAAACTGTTGAATGATTCAAGTTAACTATTTCAGCAGTTTTTCTTATAGATTTTCCACGTTCAATATGCAAATTAATAACTAAACTTCAGGCAAAGTTTCTTTTCGTTTAGCATTCATGGCTGCACAGAGCTAAAAAACACAAAAATTCCAAAACAAACTGGAGAGAAATACTGCAGACAATTTTATAAAATTTTGCCAATTGCTTTTGAGTAAAAATAAAAACCTCCAAAAATATTTTTATTGTAGTACGTAGTAGTATCTAATGGTGTCCATCACTTATGTGAGACATTTTTTGCTCCGTTCTAAACAATTGTATTTTATTAAATTAATATTTTAATATTTTGAGAAAAATGCATGTTATGTAATAATTGTTACTAAATTTAAGTATGAAACACACCCACAAAAAATGTTTACATGTTTTTTAATTTATTTTATTAGTTTCCTTTTGTAAAGCACAAGTGTCCCATCATTTTTGTGAGACACTGTATGAAAATACAGGGTGTTTATAAAGTCCCGGGCCCATTTTGATGTTTAATAACTCATAAAATAATGAAGATATAAACAAACTTATGGCATTTATTGATGGAATAACTTATACAGATTTGAATATCTTTACTTTTGGAAATATCGTCTGCGCGTGTAGTTAATTTCAGATAATTTCATTTTCCAGTCTAAATATCTGTACTTTTCTAAATATAGTCTGCTTATTAATTGCATTTTTCTCTCTTTTGTTTTTGGCAACTATTGCAATGTTATGGACTTTTTCCTTTGGGGATTTGTAAAGGACAACGTTTACAGGAGAAGAGTGTCGAACATTAATGACCTAAAAGCCAAAATTACAACCGCAATAGCCTCTGTGAGTGCCGACATGCTTACCGGTACCTGGCGTGAAATTGAATATCGACTTGATATTCTCCGTGCGACGAAGGGGGCACACGTGGAAGTTCATTGACAAGGGTCATGAAACTTTTTGAGTCTATCTAACCATTTATGTTATTAATTTGAATATATCTTTATTATTTTATGAGTTATTAAACATCAAAATGGGTTTGAAAACCGGGACTTTATAAACACCCTGTATTTCTATTTTATCACGTGCCTTAAAAAGGAAATTACATAAAAATTATATTTCAGAAATAATTAAAATGTAAGTGATCCTATGTCAATTAATTAATTTTCTTTTCCTTTTTATTTTTAGAAACTGATATCAATTATTTGATGAACATAGCCTTGAATAAAGTTGCTTTCTTGCCATATGCTTACATCATGGACAGATGGAGATGGAAAGTTTTCAGTGGAGAAATAAGTGAAGATGAAATGAATTCAGAATGGTGGAACCTGAGGCAAGTTTCTTTCACTGCGTTTTCCACTCTGATATTTCTGTAAAAGTACATTGAGTCAAATGTCATGTACAGTTAGTCACAAAAGTCTGCGTACAAACTAAATTTTAAATTAAAAAAACACTTAAAGCATAGAAAAATGTATATTAATCATTGCATTTTTTTCTTCTATTAGCTAAAATTGTAAGCTTAAATAAAGAGTAAATAATATCAGTGTAATACTTTTTACATTTTTTTCAAAAATATATTTTGTCAAAAGAAACTCAGAAATTCCCTCCATAAAGTCTGCGTACACTTTTTAAAAAAGCAAAATATAAGTTTTTTACATTACTTCAATACTTTGTAGGATATCCTTTATTCTTCAAAACAGCTTGCAGACGTCTGGGCATTGACTGAACTAGTTTTTCAGTGTCATCCGACTTAAATTTCTCCCATTCTTCCTTCAATTAACTAATTAGCTTATTTCGCGACGTACTATTGTGTTTTCGAATTCGTTTCTCCAAGTTTGCCCACAAATGTTCGATTGAATTGAGGTCTGGTGACTGTTGTGACGTCGTGGATGCTTCAGTGGGAACGGAATCAACACTGATAGTGGTGATGCATCACTTTTTAATAACACAACATATCACAGATACAACATTAAGACATTTAGAAAACTTTAGTAGATATCCGACCTGGTGACACGATCAGAGACGTTAACGAAGATGGTACTCGTCATCACTGGACAAATTTTATTCTCCACACCTCAGCTCGCTGGCGGAGCTTCCCAAACTCTCTCTCTGACAGGCGTCTCAACAGAAGTCTCATCTCTTTACGCATGCGTAATTCTCAGTTAAGTCGTTGCCATTCACAGTTCTTTAAATAAGGTGTTAAAATGAATTATAGTACTCGTAGTGTGAGGAGTTTGCTAACGACGTTCTCTCTAGTCAAGAGCATCATAGGTCTTTCTAGTAGAGTTCAGGAGCGTTCTTTACAGACTAACTCCTTCCGCCTCCAGATTTTGTTTTCCTCGGACACAGAGGAAACAAAACTTTTTTTTTAAGTTCCTACGGGATAAAATACAAGTTCAGGCAGGCGTTCACTACAAACAAACACCTTCCGCCTCCAGTTTTTGTTTCTCCGGACACAGGAGAAGTAAACCTTCACAGTTCACAGTTTCTGGTTTCAATACAGATTGTTCAACATTTTACCAGTTAATTTTAAACCACACTGTTACAAAGGTTCTCCACTCTCATAACCAGGCCATCATAAAAAAAAAAAACACATTTAAAAATACACATACAATATATGAAAAACCAAAACAAAAAGTTTTGTCTTTAAGAATAAAGCTAACAATTTACTATAGAGTATGAATTAAAAAAAATACAATATACATAATCAAATAACAAACAATTTAAAAGAAATGATAACTAGTCTATTTAACTGGCATGTACAGAGTTTCTACTTAAGCAGTCTACATTTAAGTTGTCACTTCCCTTTTATGATGTATCGTAAAATTATAAGATTGCAAGGCTAAGGCCCAGCGTAATAATCGACCATTTCTACCTGCATTATTTTTTAGCCATACTAGTGGATTATGGTCCGTTTGAATTGAAAAATTTGGTCTGCCTCATCTATATACCCTTTCAATTTTTTTATTCCATACAGAATTGCGGCACACTCTTTTTCAGTGGTGGAATACTTCCGCTCACTATCAGTAAATTTTTACTGAGATACAATATGGGATGTTCTTTCCTTTATCATCCTTTTGGGCTAAAACAACACCATATCCTTTATCTGATGCGTCTGTCTGTAGTATAAAATGGTTTAGAAAAAATCGGGTGCATGTAGCACAGGCCTACTAGATAGCTTTTCTTTTAACGATTTGAATGATTCATTACATTCATCATTCCAAACAATTTTACCCTTTTGTTATTCCCTTTTAACAAATCTGTCAAAGGTGCGGCTATAGCAGAAAACATAGGTATATATTGTCTGTAGTATCCAGCTAACCCTAAAAAAGCTCTAATCTCAGTTTTAGTTGTGGGAACAGGAAAATTTTGAACCGCCTCGATTTTTAGTTCTGCTGGAGAACGTTTTTCTCGACCTACTATGTGACCGAGATATTGCACTTCTTCTTGTGCAAACTTGCACTTAGAGGGTTTAATAGTTAAATTGGCTTTTCTTATTCTTTCTAAAATTTCATGTAAATGTTGTAAATGTTCCTCCCACGTTTCAGAAAAAATAGCAATATCATCTAAATAAGGGGTAGCATATTTCTCACATCCGCACAATATTTCGCTCATCATTTTACTAAAATAATAAGGAGCATTTTTAAGCCCAAATGGCATGCGCAAAGGCCTATATACGCCAAAATTTGTAGCAAATGCAGCAATTTTCTGCGCTCTAGGGGTCAGCGGAATTTGCCAATAACCTTTAGTTAAGTCTATCAAGGTGATAAATTTGGCTGCTGCAACAGTTTCAACACGTTGCTCTATATTGGGGATCGGATAGAACTCAGTACGCGTTATTTCGTTTAACTTTCTGTAATCAATACACGGCCTAGGATCCCTACCTGGTGCTTCAACAAGGATCATGGGTGAAGTATACTCAGAGGGTCCTGGTTCAATAATCTTGTATTTTAACATTTTTTTCAATCTCGACTTTAAGAATTTCGTTCTGTCGATTTGTCATTCTATAAGGCTTATGCTGTACGCGTTTGTCACTGATTAGTTCGATATCATGTTCGACTAAATTTGTTTTCCCTGGAATATTCGAAAATATAGCAGAAAACTTTACCAACAACTTTCCCAACTGCAGGATTTGTTCATCACTAAGTCTTTCTTTAAGATTATCTTTTGCTATTATTTCATTAAAATCAAACACATTGGGGTCGGTTAACATATAAGGAAAAATCCTCCTCTAATTCCGAGGGTTCAACTATCTCCTCGTTGTCAAGGAGCACCATATTCAAAAAGTTCAGGTCTCTTATGATAAGGTTTTAACATATTGATGTGATACACTTTATTCCCTTCCTGATTCCCTTCAAAACTAACCACATAGTTTGTTTCTGATAATCTTTTCTCTATTTTTCCCCGGCCCTTTCCATTGAGGAGCGAGTTTATGGGGTTGGTTCACTGCTAATACTAATACAGAATCTCCTTGCTGGAATTCCCTTTTCACGGCATTTTTGTCATACCATTTCTTCCTTTTGTCTCTCACCTCTTCCATTTTCTCTGTAGCTAATTCTCTACTTTTCTTTAACCTATTGATTAATTCGAAAACATATTCTATTACGGTATCTTCTTTTTCCTGAGGATCTAACCATTTCTCATACAATAATGCGACAGGTGTTCTGAGGTTGGTCCCGTACACTAATTCAGCTGGACTAAATCCTGTACTATCATGCGTTACTGTCCGCAGAGCAAAGAGAGCGGCAGGTAATTGTACTTCCCAATTTGGGGCAGCTTCAATACATAATACCTTTAAGACCCTTTTTATTGACCTATGGAACCGTTCTACAGGATTGCTCTGGGGGTGGTAAACCGAACTTCTGGAAATTTTTATACCAAACCTCTTCAAAAATTCAACGGTTAAGCGACTCATAAAAGATTTCCCTTGATCAGTTTGAACCTCCCTTGGAAAGCCCATCCGACTAAATACCTGCAAGAGTGCACTTACAACAGATTTCGACGTTATATCCGGTACCGGGACGGCGTCAGGATATTTAGATGCTAAGCACATAACTGTAATAAGATATTTATTACCTTCAGTAGATGTAGGCATAGGCCCGCAAGCATCTACATTAACCTTACTAAAGACTTCCGATATCACAGGTACTATTACCAACGGTGCTTTCTTCTTGTCACTTGCTTTTCCTACACGTTGACAGGAGTCGCATGTTTTAACGAATTCCTCAATGTCTTTATAACAATTTGGCCAGAAAAAATGTCTTAGTAACCGGTCTTTTGTTTTCAGAACTCCTAAGTGACCTGAAGTTCCTTCATGACAAATTGCTTTAATTTGCTCTCTGAGGTTTTCTGGAACAACAATTAAATGTTCTTCTCCTCCTAACTTATTTACCTTCTTTTTTACTAAAACCCCATTTTTAATCCCATAACTTGTTTTACTTCCGCTTTTTACTAGTTCTAATAAAGGGGCAAGTTCTTTACTTTTTTGTTGTTCATCAATAAAAGTACTTGAGTCTATTTGAGTCGCAGGACTTGTGGGGACACAAAGGTCGACAGGAGGCAATATCTCTCTGTTTTCAGACTTCTCATGAGCATCGTCCTCCTCTTCCAATTCTAACTCATTCTGCTCAGAATTTTGATTCGTCTCACTTAAATTTTCCGCTTCCTTTAATTATCGTGCTTGAGATCGAGTAACGACCGCATTAACATTACCGACATACGACGAATAATTTTTCTCAGTTCCTCTTCTGAGAAGAGCCGCTGTCTGGTTGCCTAGTATATATCGCCCTTGGTCTAAGTGGTCTCCTATAACAGCTGCTTTGGTGGTTACTGTATCCAAATCGCATTCAATATCTACTTCAGCAACAGGTAAACAAGTCATATGATCATCCAACAAATGTCGAACCCACACATGTTCCCCTTCATTCTACCGTTGCTCCTGTATCTCTTAGAATAGTAGAATAGGTACTTCAAAACCATTTACTCTTCCATTTAATGTATAGGGATCTAACAGATTCTTCTCTGATCTCCCGCTTATCCGATACAAATCTGCCTTTTGAGGTTTTAAAATTAGGGCACTGAGGACGTAAATGGTCAAAAGATCCACATTCATAGCACTGGAGTCTTTTTCTCCTATCAAAATTCAAGTCCGACTTTTTCCCAACATTGCGTGCGTCATCATCTTTTTTTAATTGTGTGCCATGAGGGTTTTTTCTATTTTTGAAAACGTTACCAGTGGACTGAAAAACACCCATTTGTCTACCTGATATTTTCGTTTTCAGTTCACCCAATTTCGTTTTCCCAACCATCGTCTTTTTCGCATCTTCAAATTCCTCTATTTTACCCACCAACAGTTTTGGTGAAGTGATCGTAGCCCATTCATCTATAAAATGTTCCTTAAACTCATTAG